GTATCCATACTAACATGAAATCGCTGTAGAACCTTCTTCAAATAAGCCATCTGTGTCAAACAAATTCTGCCCTTTTTCTTGTCTCTGTCGATCTTTATCCCTAAAATGCGCTTCGCCTCACTCAAATCCTTCATCTCAAACTCCTTTGAAAGCTGTGCCTTCAACTCATCTATAGCATATCTGAAAATAGAGGCAACCAACATGTCATCGATATAAAGCAACAAATAAATGTACGCACCTTCCTTCAACTTATAAAAATATACGCAAGGATCAAACCGGCTCCGAGTGTACGAATGACCAATCATAAAACCATCGAATTGCCTATACCACTGTCAAGGAGACTGCTTCAAACCGTATAGCGATTTTTTCAATCTGCAAACTAGTTTTTCCTTCCCTATAGTTCGGAATCCTAATGATTGAGTCATATATATTTCTTCATCAAGATCACCATGAAGAAATATCGTCTTCACATTCAATTTATCTAACTCTAAACCATACTATGCCACCAAAGCTAGCAAAATCCGAATCGACGACTGCTTCACCACCAGAGAGAAAACCTAATTATAGTCAATACCTTCCTCCTGTGCATAGCCCTTCACAACCAACCTATCTTTGAACCTCAATGGAGTGCCCTTAATGCCCTCCTTCTTTGTGTATACCCATTTGCAACCAATCGCCTTCCGTCTCTTTGGAAGCTCGACAAGCTCCCATGTATCGTTCTTATGAAGAGAATCCATCTCCTCCTGCATAGCTACCTATTACGAATTAGCCTCCGAACTCTGCTCGGCCTCTCTGAATGTAGTAGGCACCATCTCATCGATACTCTTCACTGGAAGTGCATACACAACTGTGTCGGCATACCATGTTGGCATCCGCATGTCTCTCCTCTGTCTCTGAACCATAATAGAATCCTGAACCTGAGCCATCGATCCCTGATCCTGCACATCAGTACCCGTATCATCTGTGTCACCGTCGTGCTCTCCTGGCGTTATCTCAGTCGGCACTCTAATGGATATTATACCATCTGGATAATGTGGAGCTGCATCGATCTCTACCACCTGTGATATTTTCTCTATCGGGTCGCTCTCCACTTGATGAGAGCTGGGAAGCTTCAAGATAGAAGCCTCATCAAACGTGACGTCTCTACTCAGCACAATCTTCCTATCAACTGGATCTCAAAGTTTGTATCCCTTGACACCGCGCTTGAATCCTACAAATATGGCTTTCCTAGCTCGAGGTTCCAATTTATCTGTTCTCATATGATAAAATGCAGGGCACCCGAATACCTTGAGCTGGTCATAATCTCATGATGGCTCTCCCGACCACATCTCCATAGGGGTCTTCCCCTCAATCGCAGATGACGGCAACCTATTAATGAGGTGACTCGCATATGTAAGTGCCTCAGCCCAAAAGATCTTCTCCAAATCACTCTGCGACAATAAACATTGGACCTTCTCCAGTAAAGACCAATTTAGCCTCTCTGCCACCCTATTCTTCTACGGTGTATGACTAACCATGAAGTGCCTCTCTATACCCTCATCTTGACATAGCTGCAGAAAGGGGTCTGAAATATATTCACCATCATTATCGGATCGTAACGTCTTGATCTTTCTCACAGTCTGCAGTTCCAATGTCTTCTTCCACTCCACAAATAAATCTAGGACTTCATTCTTATATTTCATTGTGTACACCCAACAACGCGTAGAATAGTCATCAATGAATGTGATGAACCAATATCGACCACCAAGTGATGTAGTCTTGGTGGGACCCCAAACGTCTGTATGCACGTAGTCCAGGATGCCCCTCGTCCTATGAATAGTCGTCTCAAACTTCACCTTTGTCTTCTTGCCAAGAACACAGTGCTCACAAAATTCCACTTTACTACTCTTGGCTCTCTTCAATAGCCCCTGTTTGCACAGCGCCTGCAGTGACTTCTTGCATGTGTGCTCTAACCTATAATGCCAAAACCTACTCATGTCCGCCTCTGAAATAGCCGAAGCAATCTGGCCAATCTCGGTACTCCCCTTCAGATAATATAAGTTTCGACTATGGACTCCCTTCATCACCACCAAAGATCCCTTAGTAACCTTTGCTACAGCGTCTTCAAAGATCACATTGAATCCTTTTGCCTCCAAAGCTCCAATTGAGATAAGATTTTTCTTCAGCTGAGAAACAAATCTCACATCTTTCAATTCACGGACTACTCCATCGTGCATCCGAATCTGCACGGTACCTATCCCACAAATACCACAGGATTGATCATTTCTCATGACAACAACACCCCCCATCGAGTCTGTCGAATAATACAAACCGATCTCGCCTAGGGGTCATATGATAAGTAGCAGCGGAATCAAACATCCAATCTGATGCATCCAAGTGGTTCATCTCCGGAGTAATCAATAGAGAAAAGCTCGAATCATCGGAATCATCGCCTTTCGCAACGTTCACCTCATTGGCCTTTGGGCCCTTTTTCTTGCTATTCTCCTTCTCCTTGAGGTTCGGGCAATCTCTCTTCCAATGTCTCTGCTCCTTATAGAATGCACATTGGTTCTTTGCTAATTGGTGGTGGCTTCTTTACTTTGACCTCCCTCTATTACCACCTTTCGGATATGGGCTTCTACCTCTCGTCGACAAAGCATCGCCTGAAATACTAGCATAGGAAGTCTCCTTGTCTTTCCTCCTTAAATCATAATTTGTCAATACATTAGTAACTTCACTATAGCTGATAGAAGATTTTTCGTTCAACAAAGTGAGCACAAATGTGTCATACTCCTCATCCGGTAAGGAGCCCAATAAGATAATAGCATTGTATTCATCCGAAATCTTCTCATTAACATTCGCCAAGTCCGACAATAACTTCGTATAGTTGTTCACATGAGCCGCAAGCGAGGTGCTTCTGGACATCTGAAATCTGAATAACCTACACAGTAAATGCAACTTGTTCTCAACACTCTTCGTAAGGTACTTATTATTGAGAATTTTCCACATCTTCATCACAAATGTCATCTCAATCACATCATACTTCAGCTCCTGTTCTAAACAGGACCTGATCACCACACAAGCGTTCCTATTCATCTTTTCCCATACCGCCTCTTCATATTTTGGTGGTCTTTCATGGACCATGATGGTCTCCTTCAAGTTCTGAGCATTGAACGCATCCTGTACGTTGCTCATCCATAAACCAAAGTTGATTTTACCGTCATACTTCACCACACTAATTTTGGTGTTCTGAAAACCAACTTGAACTGTACTCGGCATCGACTTGCTACTTTCACCTTCTTCTCCCATTACAAACTAACTCCAAGTTGTAGAGAAAGAATCAAACTTTGATAGAAATTAAGAATTACCCAACTAAACCCTAGATCGGATTCTAAAGAGATCTCATATCCACACGAGGAAAGCGAAATCTCCAACGACAACTCCTAATGCTATCTCCACTGAAGCCTAGAACTCCAAGAACCAAGCTTCACATAAAAATCTTCCTCCACCTAATTACAAAACCCTAGATCTAAATCTGGGCTCTGATACCACTTGTTGCGCGCAGCGAAAATTTCGACAGCACTTTGACAGCATAACAAGAGAGTCAGGTCATAATAGGAATTCTTGTTTCACAAAGGAAACAAGAACCTTAAGCAAAATATCCCAACAAAGTGGGATATCAGCTCTTTCTCTCATCAGTTCTAGGACTGACTTGTCGAGGAAACCTAAATAAGCTATTACAAATCACACAAATAGCGAGACAATCAATTTTACATAGTTAGGCAAATTGCCTACATCCACGGGAAGAGGATGTGGAGATTTCACTAAATCAAGAAGAGCACAAAGGGTTACAATCTCACAAAACTCACAAACAAATACTCAACCAAAGCTCTCAACTTGCTCACAATATCTTCCTCTCATAATGCTCAAAAGTCTCTCTAATCTCTGATTACAACTCTCCTATCTTTTGATGATTGATTCTAATCTCCATATATATATAGAAAAACTAAAACTAAAACAGACTAGGAATCCTAAAACCAAAAACAAAACAAATTAGGAATCCTAATAACCTCATGTTACCAAAATAGATAAGGAATCCTAATAATCTCATGTTACCAAAATACATTAGGAATACTGATATCCAACAGTGTGCACCCCGTGCAAAGCATGACTCCTTATTTTTTTAAGCACTGCATTTGGAGCTTGTCTCCCTCTAAGTTTTAACATATTTAATTTAATTATTGTATGCTTAAAATTAGAAATCATATCTACTCCTCTATACTTAAAGAATGATCCAAATTTTAATACATTTGATTCATATTTACTCCTTTATACTTAAAGAATGATCCAAGATTTAATACATTTGATTTGTTTTACCGTTTATGACACAGTGAATTACTGTAACATAAATAATAGCTTTAAGCAGTATGGATGAGCATATTTGATTTACAGTTTATGCCACAGTAAACTACTGTAGCACGACTAGTACATCGAGTGCAGATGACCAGATTTGATCTGTTGTTCATACCACAGTATTTACTGTGACATTTACTGTACCTTAAACAATAATTCTTTGGATTCTCCGTTAAGTATAGAGGAGTAGATGTAGATAACAAGGCATGAGTACATGACTCACAAGATAATGTAGCAGCGATGATTTTAATGTTAATATACAAAGAAAGAGCTGTTGAGACTTAGCCTAGAAAACAAACAGATGCAAGGTTACATGACGCCGTGATAATTTTCCTGAAGAAAAACAACGAGAAAGGGCTATAAATGTGATTGACATAACAAAAAAAAAAAAAAAGTTCTTCACTCGCTAATAAAAAATAAGGGCCGGTCCTGTGGTACGTGACCTTGTATGCTCGAGTGTGGTATGTTACAAACGTGCATTGTGTACTTCCTGGGATAAAACACACTCCGTAGCGAAGTGGAAGTAGGACAAATAGAGGCCGCAGCATGCTTGCTTGTAAGAAAGGAAGTACTATCTCAAGACATATAAGTAAGGAAAAGAGACAAACTCGTTATGTCCGAGGTCACCAGGCTTCTCGCATCTGCATTTGCGCAGACGATGGCCGTTACAACGAGAATCATACATCTTTCCCTCAGATCCATATCGCCCCAAGCCTTGTGTAAAACCTATAAGCATCATTGTAGCACATTAGGGTAATATATATAATAACACAAACATCCTAAATTAATTACGCGCAGAATTACTCAACTATACTCGACCAATTCCCCAATATTAGAGGCATAAGGTGGGCGAATACGTAGTGGCTACCATGGATTTTCTCAAAAATAGGATAGCGGATACCACCGTGTATATATCGCATCGGTCTTCATCAGTACAAGGCTTGGCTTACGAAGGATGGGGCTATTAGTAAGCTTGCAATGTGAAGCAAATAAAGATGCATATCGGCTCGTCGTGTACGTGCAACAATGAGAGCATATATACTTATCATAACTTGTAGACCATTAGCTCCTCCGATTCTCATAATTCGTTTCGAAGTACGTATTCCCTCCGGTTGCTGTTTCTATTCTTGATTATTGGAGGGACTAATTTGAAAATAAGTTAAAAATTTAGGGACCTAATAGCAATTTTCATGATTCGAGGAACTTATTCAAGATAACCGAAGGCCCCGTTTGGCAAAGGGTTAAGGAAGAGGGGTTAAAAAGAAGGATTAATGTACTTAGCCCATTCAATAATCTGAAGGACTAAAATTATTAATTAACCCGTTAAATAAGTTTTATTTTAGTCATTGTGATCAGTTTTATTGTTTGGGAATAATAATGATTTTGACTATTTTTTTTATAATTAGAATGATTAACTCTTAATCCTTCTAAATAGGAGTATTAGTAAACCCCTCATTTTGAGGGGTTAACTCATTTTAATCCTTCTAGAAGGGTTAGCTTAACCCTTCTATATTTTTTATGTTTGACAAATTATAAATGGTTAACTCACTTTAACCCTTGTATAGATTTTTTTATGTTTGACAGGTTAAAAATGGGTTAAGTCTCCTTAACCCAATCACTTAACCCTTTGTCAAACGGTACCTAAGAGTTCATCGGGATCCATACTATATATCTAGCTCAAATGGACAATATGAGCTCAGCAATTAATTCTACAAATAAACTAACCATGTGGAGTGATGAGCTCAGGAGCTATTGAGAAGATTTGACAAGGAGACAAGATTTGAGAAGGTAAGTTACCTTGGGATGAGGACGTGAAGTGGGGAGAGGAGATGAGGTTATGAGAGGAGAGTTGAGAGAAATGGAGTTGACGTGAGAGGGGGAGAGGAGGTGAGTTTATGAGAGGAGATCGAGTTGAGAGAAATGGGGTTACCTAATTGGGATGAGGACGTGAGTGGGGGAGAGGAGATGAGGTTATGAGATCAGGAGAGATGAGGACGTGAGAGGGGGAGAGGAGATGAGGTTATGAGAGGAGAGATGAGAGAAATGGAGTTACCTTGGGATGAGGACGTGAGTGGGGGAGAGGAGATGAGGTTATTATGAGAGGCAAATGGAGGTCGTTGGCAATCTCCTCCCCGCGCTCTCTCTCTCTCTCAGGTCGTAGCTTGTTGGATATTTTCTCTGATAGTTTATGAATGAATGAATGAATTATGAGTTGGTTGTTGTAGTGTCAGCTTGCGTTCCATTGCCTGGCAAGGAAGAGATGTGTTGTTAAATTATGCCGCCGGATCACGTTAGTGAAACAAAAAAATAACGGAATATGATGGTACGTCGACAGCAGGGTTCGAACCTGCGCGGGCGTAGCCCAACAGATTTCAAGTCTGTCTCCTTAACCACTCGGACATATCGACGGTTGTTTTTGCCTAGGAAAATAAAATTAAATATTCTAAACTCTTACCATGAATGGTTTTCCTACACGAAAATATCTAGTTCTTAAAAAACCGCTACAAAATTTTTATTTTTCATAGAACCACCATGAACATATTAATATTTTATAAAGTTCCACCAAGTCATAATTTAAATCAGTATTTTGTTAAATAATAGTATAAAATAACATAAATGCGCATCATGACACAATTTTAGAGAGGATGAGTGGGGCCGGTATTATGAGAGAATTAAAACTTTTTTGAGAGAGTAAACACAGTTTTAGATATAAATAATGTGTTCTTTTTTATAATGAGGCGACCGGGAATCGAACCAAAGATAGTGGGAACCATATTGGAACCTCCCAACCATCTGGGTCATCAATGATGCTCAAGTATTTTGTTGATTTGAGAAAATATAATAATAGATTCGTGGGTTCCATCATGATGGTATTTTAGGGATTTAGCATGTTATTTAGTTTAATATGATATGAATGCAAAATTATAATTTGGCGGCACTTTGTTATGGATGCATATTTTCATGGTGGTTCTATGAAAATAAAAAAAAATTTGTGGTGGTTGTCAGGTGCTGCAACTCAGGGGCATTGAATCGGCTGAGTGCAGGTTCAGTTTTGAAGCACATGGACTGATATGCAAACTGATACACAAATAGTTGGACTTAAAAGCAAAAGGAAGAGAACATAAAAGATCACATTGTAAATAAGATAGTTACAATCAACTGTATGTAACTAATTGTCCATATTCTGTTACATTTTGTTACAAGTTAGTTCGGCACTGCTGTGCACGTGCACGAACTTAGCTCTCAATTACAGGATGTATAAATACAGTGTTGTACAAAGGAAACGATATGAAATGAATAATAAGTTCTCTTCCTCTATTGATACATCTTTTTCTCTGTCTCATATCTCTATCTCTCTCTCTTCTTTCTTCAATTTCTCTTCTGATTCTTCTTCTTGAGATCCGCCATGGCCAGGAATAGCAGCTCCAAAGGCAATCGAGGTACTCGTGCCTCACAATTGGTATCAGAGCATTTAGGAGCGGGAATTGCTGATGAAGGATTCTTGGGCAACAATGAGGAAACAATGGTTGAAGAAATGATTACGTACGAAAGATTTCTCAGAGTGGAGGATGCAATTCAACAACAAAAAGCAATTCTTCAACAACAAGGCTCTATCAACCATCAAACATCTACGAGATTGGAGCAAAGTTGGATGGGTTAGCTTTTCAGATGGAAATCGTAATCCAAGAACTCAAGAACTCAAAGGGGTCTAGCCAAGGAATCTTGGGATCAGGACCTAGGGAGGATCGTAGAATTCAAGGTTCAGGATCACAGGATGACAGAGAGATTTCTAGGTAAAGAGTTCAAGAATCCAGCAAGAAAAGCTTTGATCAAGGACACAACTTCCAGGATCAAAGAGAATATGTTTTCCAAGAGGATTTTCAACCAACTCACAGCTTTGGTAATCTCCCAACTCAGAAGAACTCGTTCTTTAACAACCAAAAACTAGTTCAACCAAAGTCTTTGCGCTTGGATTTTCCTTCCTTTTCTGGAATTGAAGATGTAATATCATGGCTAGATCAGACTGAACACATCTTTTATTATTATGATATTCAGACTCATGAATGGGTCAAGGTTTGTTCGTTCTATTTGAGGAATGAAGCTCTACAATGGTATAGGTGGTTTGCTAGGAACATCGAGAATTTTGACCATTCAGATGTTTTTAAAGAAGAATTAATTACTAGGTTTGGTCCAAATGAACTCTCACGACCATATGATGCTTTCTCTTCTTTAAGGCAAACCACTACAATTAGAGATTATTTGGGAAAATTTGAACAAGCTTCAGGCCTATTGGATGATCAACCTTCTAGGAGACACATTTTTGAAAAATTTATTGGAGGTCTTAAAGAAGAATTGAGGTATGAAGTGGCGGCTGCAAGACCTAGTTCTTTGAAGGGAGCTGTCTCTTTGGCTAAATTGTTTAAAGAAAAACAAAAAAATGACAGGAAGTCTAAAGGTAATCGGAATGTATACAATCAAGGAGGACACACAGTCAACACACACCACCTTGTACCTGTTAAAGAAAATCTTCATCCAACTACCCAGTTCAAGAAAATGTCTCCTGAGGAAATACAACGAAGGAGAAGTCAAAATTTGTGTTTCACCTGTGATGAAAAGTTGCATAGGGGACACAATTGTAAAGGAAATCAACTTTATATATTAGAAGGGGTCATAGATGAATAGTTGGAAGAAAATGAAGAGGATTCTGGTGCAGTAGGGGAAAGAATTATGGCTGATGAAAGGGATGGAAATTTGATTCAAGGAGCTCCTTCTATATCAGTTCAGGCATTAAATGGGATCAGTGCTGCTCATACTATAAGAGTGATGGGTCATTATAAGAATCAAGCTGTCAGTATCCTTATAGATTCTGGGTCTACTCATAATTTTATCAATGATAAGTTAGTGAAGAGGCTGGGGTTGAATGTAGTAGAATCTAAGGAGTTCAATGTTCTGGTGGCCAATGGTGAGTTGATTAGAGGAGCTGGAATCTGTCAGAGAGTCATGTTGGATTGCCAAGGAGTGCAAATACTGACTAATTTACTGGTTATGCCAATGGGAGGAAGCCAAATTGTATTAGGGGCAGACTGGATGAGAACCTTGGAGGATATTACCTTGAACTTTAAGAAACTACAGGTCACCTTTATCAGTGAAGGAGTAAAAAGAACTTTACAGGGAATAATTCCTGATAAGCTGCAGTTAGTTAATGAAAAGACTATTGACAAGTCTTTTAGAGAGCAAGAGGAAGGATTTCTGATTCAATTATGCAGTGTGACTCTACAGGAGCCTGGGAAACTGGATGTTACTGGAGATTTACCTAGTGATATGCAGCAGTTAATACAAGAGTTTCAAGGTGTATTTCAAGAATTACCTCAACTACCACCTCAGAGAGACATAGACCACAGAATTCCTTTGGAAGAGGGAACTAAACCAGTTTGCATTCGACCATACAGACATGCTCATTTTTTGAAAGATGAAATTGAGAAACAAGTGGAGGAAATGCTGGACAAAGGAATCATAAGAACCAGCAACAGTCCATTCTCTTCTCCAGTGGTGATGGTTAAGAAAAATGATTGGAGTTGGAGGATGTGCATTGACTACAGAACTCTCAACAAATCTACAATTAAGAACAAGTTTCCTATTCCTATGATTGATGAGTTGTTAGATGAGTTGAATGGTGCAAATTTTTTCACTAAACTGGATTTGAAATCAGGTTATCATCAAATTAGAATGTATGAAGGGGACATACCAAAGACTGCATTCAGAACACACAGTGGACACTTTGGGTTTATGGTTATGCCTTTTGGTCTCACAAATGCCCCTTCAACCTTTCAAGCACTCATGAACACTGTATTTAAGGAGTTATTGAGGAAATCTGTCTTAGTCTTCTTTGATGATATTCTGGTGTATAGTAAAGAATGGAATGAGCATTTGGTGCACTTGAGACAAGTATTCCAGATTCTGAAGACTCATCAGTTAGTGGCTAAGCTCTCTAAATGCAGCTTTGGACAGCAACAAGTAGAATATCTAGGGCACATTGTATCACAGGAAGGGGTCAATGTGGATCCTAACAAAATTAAGTCTATTATTGAATGGCCTGTGCCAAAACCCCTGAAGGGACTGAGAGGTTTTCTTGGATTGGCAGGGTACTACAGGAAATTTATTAGAGGGTTTGGTATGATGGCCAGACCATTGACACAACTCTTGAAGAAAGGAGCCTTTGTGTGGAATACTAGTGCTGAGGAAGCCTTCAGTGAATTGAAAAAAGCACTCACAACACCACCAGTCCTAGCTCTACCAGATTTTAGTCAAACATTTGTAATTGAATGTGATGCCTCTGGCTATGGAATTGGGGCAGTATTAATGCAACAGGACAGACCCATTTCTTATTTTAGTTTGGCCTTGAAAGGAAGCAACACTGCATTGTCCACATATGAGAGAGAACTTTTGGCCATTATCCTTTATACTAAGAAATGACAGCAATATCTTTTGGGCAGGTCTTTTGTAATCAGGACTGACCACCATAGCCTCAAATACCTGCTGGAGCAAAGGATTCATACTGGGATACAAAATAAATGGCTTGCCAAGTTGCATGGGTTTGATTATAGAGTTGAATACAAGCCTGGGAAATTAAATAGAGCAGCAGATGGATTATCCAGAATTACTGAAAATGAAGAGGAAAAGCCAGACTGTTCTGTACATGTTTCAGCTGTGACAACACTTAGTAATGATTGGTTGAAGGATATTCAACTCATGTATTCTACAGACCAATTCTTCCAAGACTTGGATGCAAAGATGTCTCAGGGAAAGCTGGATACTGACAAGTACTGTAAGAAACAGGGAATGTATTTTTACAAAGGCAGACTTTTAATAAGTCCCACTACTCATAACATCAAAAACTCTTTATTAAGTGAGCACCATGACAGTCCCATGGCAGGACATTCTGGGATCACTAGGACCTTGCATAGACTAAGAAGAGCTTTCTATTGGAAGGGGATTAAAAAAGATGTACAGCATTATATACAATCTTGTGACACATGCCAGAGAGCAAAAGGTGAGAATGTAGCCTCTCCAGGGCTGTTACAACCTTTACCTGTGCCTAATTATGTGTGGGAGGACATATCCATGGATTTCATCACACACTTGCCAACAAGTGAGAATAAAACTGCTATCTATGTTGTGGTTGACAGATTGTCTAAGTATGCACACTTCTTTGCCCTTTCATGTCCATTCACAGCACAATCAGTGGCACAGGTGTTTTTTGAAGGGGTTTTTAAGTTGCATGGCATACCAAAATCAATAGTCAGTGACAGAGATTCTCTATTCACTAGTCTTTTTTGGAGAGAGTTGTTTAAACTGCAGGGCAGTAAACTCAAATTCAGTTCAGCTTACCATCCACAAACTGATGGCCAAACTAAAATTACCAACAAGAGTTTGGAGACCTATCTCAGATGTTTTTGCTGTCATAAACCACAAGAGTGGACTAAATGGTTAGCTCTCGCTGAGTTTTGGTATAACACAGGTTGGAAGAGCTCAACTTTGGCCACTCCTTTTGAAGTGGTATATGGGAGACAACCTCCTTCTTTACTATCTTATATCCCTAAAAGTTGTAAAGTGGAGGCTGTTGATGAATCTCTGTTTTCTAGAGATATTACCTTGCAACTCCTTAGAGACGGTTTGAAGAAAGCAGCTGAGCAAATGAAGAAATATGCTGACAACCATCGCAGTTACAGAAGTTTTGTTGTGGGAGACTGGGTTTTTCTCAAATTACAACCCTACAGGCAACTGAGTGTATCCTCTTGCAAAACCCACAAACTTTCTCCTAGATACTATGGCCATTACCAGATTTTGGATAAAATTGGTGAAGTGAGGATTCTACTTGGGAATCATATTGGGAATTAGTCAAGAGATTTCCTACTTTTGACCTTGAGACAAGATCAAATTTAAGGGGTGAGAAATTGTCAGGTGCTGCAACTCAGGGGCATTGAATCGGCTGAGTGCAGGTTCAGTTTTGAAGCACATGGACTGATATGCAAACTGATACACAAATAGTTGGACTTAAAAGCAAAAGGAAGAGAACATAAAAGATCACATTGTAAATAAGATAGTTACAATCAACTGTATGTAACTAATTGTCCATATTCTGTTACATTTTGTTACAAGTTAGTTCGGCACTGCTGTGCACGTGCACGAACTTAGCTCTCAATTACAGGATGTATAAATACAGTGTTGTACAAAGGAAACGATATGAAATGAATAATAAGTTCTCTTCCTCTATTGATACATCTTTTTCTCTGTCTCATATCTCTATCTCTCTCTCTTCTTTCTTCAATTTCTCTTCTGATTCTTCTTCTTGAGATCCGCCATGGCCAGGAATAGCAGCTCCAAAGGCAATCGAGGTACTCGTGCCTCACAGTGGTTTTCCGAAAAGCTCCTATATTTTGTGGTGTTTCTATGAAAATAAAAATATATATGGTGTTTTTTCGAAAAGCCACTATATTTCGTGGTGGTTTTGTATTAAAACAACCCTATAAATTATGTTAATCTCAACATAATTCCCTGGCCTGCATCAAGTAAATCTATGAATTCCTCTTATTGGGCTTTTCAGAACCTTTTTAGTGATAGATCGTATGATAAACCGCAGAGAGAGGCCCACGGCCTGCTGTCATCTATCTGACCGGAAAAATGCACTCAGTAAGTATGATAAAAATGAGCTTAAATATAGGGTAAAGTCAACAAAAGCACAGTGACTCCATCTACAAATTCGTTGCATTCAACACAATATAGATGAAAGTTCTTCATATTTAATTTCATGACAGTCTTGAGACATGCTGGTTTCGGTTGATTACAAAATTTGTAGTGGTTTTTCTCTAGTAAAAAGAGTTATGTAAGTTTTACGCAAAATCCCTCATTGTTTCGTAGATTTATGAAATCCACCCTAATAAATCTAAACATATATTGCATTTGTGGGGTCGACCCGAGAAACAATCTTACAGCCCACACGGCATGGTTTTGGTTCCGGAGCCCATTGCCAAAATAATAATAATAATAATAATAACAACGATAATAATAAACAAGAATAATAATAATAATAAATAATAAAAATCCTTAGGTTGCGTTTGGATTCGAGGATTTGATTTCAAATTCCAGAATTGAATTCTGAAATTTGAAATCCAGAATTTCAAATTCAATTCCTTTGTTTGGGAAACATCCAAATTTGAATTCCAGAATTCAATTTGAGATTCATGTTTGGCAAACTTTAGAATTTCAATTTTAAAAATTTCAATTGAGTTGTTTGCCATCTAGTAGAATTCTAATTCCTAAACTAAAATTGTAGCTCGAAGATAATTTAGAAATAAAATACTCAAATTACATAAGGTTTGCATCGAAATTGGTGGAAATAAATGCCTCAAATAGTATAGCACATATCCAACCAACAAGACATATAGATAAAATACCTTAAAACATCGAATGCAGTGATGTCAATAGTTCACCTAATAATCACCATAAAAATAACCGAAATCATTCATCAATAAAACTTTGTAAACTTCTCCATCACTAACCAAAACAATAAATAAAGTAGAAACTTCAAATATTGCATATAACAATTCAACAAACTAGAGATCCAAAATATGTTCGACCTACAATTTTAGTTAATATTTCCCCATTATACAATATCATTCTTAAATTGTTCTCGCTCTAGTTTCTTTAAAACTTTTACATCTGATTCAAATAAGAGTTTCTTTTTGTTGCTTATACACTTTTGCTTTGTATTTCTTATTGCAGCTTTCTCTCCCCAGTTCAAGAGGTCCTGCTTTGCGAGGTCTTAAATCACCTGAAACAATAAGAAGACCAAATGAGCTCCATTTTAAAGTGTGATACTATAAAGGAATCTCAAGAAAACAAAAGAAGGAAGCACCCAGGTCAACAAGAATCCAAAATGTGAGCTGGATTATCCTTATGTTAAACGCAAAATCAAACGCAAAATCAAACGCAAAATCAGACCCAAATTGCAGTCAAAGACCCCCAAGTTTCCAAACTAAAATCCAAAGATAGCATGATGACTGAACTCACGAGGATAACTCTCAGTTCAAATCATCGTTGGGTAGTTAGACATCAATAATTCTCATGAGGCTAGTGGAAGAGACTGCAGTGCAGAACAAACAACCGTCATCTGCTTTCAGACTCAACCTTCAATTAGGCGCAACTGAGGATATGAGACTAAAACTACAAAATAATTCAATTGGGAGGAGAATGGTGTGTATAGCTGTCAATGGGCCAAACGGAGGACAGACTTTTATCGAATTTCAGTTGCTCTGCTAGTTATGTACTCATTTGATGTATATGTGCAATGTCTAAGCCCGGCAAATTGTAAGCAAGTAATATTTTGTGCTATTTGAATTTTGAAGGCAGAAAGAAGGCCATGCATACTAATGGGCATGTAGATCTGTAAGCTTCAAATGTTGGTGGAACAACAAATTATGTAGTATTTGTTCCTTAAATGCTCAAGAGTATGTACGAGTTCCAGTCCTTAACAAACTAATCAAGAGATGATTCAGATTACTGTGCAAGTTACTAGATATTGTCATGAGAACCATATAGCATGAACTATTGACGAGAATATAGGAAACTGCTGCAAGTGAACTAAATAGATGCACACATAAGAAGATGCAAAATAGATGCAAAAGTTAATGAGTTATTTTTTACCTTAGTCTGAGTTTTCAAGACATAGCATAATCCAATCTAACTTTTGATTGTCTGGAAGTAACTTCAACATTCGGAAATCATGTGTAGAACCATCAATGAATCTCTTAACCGCCCTTAAAAATTGATGTGGAGGAATACCCCTCACTTTAGATACCTCGGCATAAATCTCCTCGCAATCAGCTTTTGGTGGGTTCGTACTCACTAGATACTCCTTTAGCATCTCACCAACATCACTTACTGCATTTGCTAAAGGGTCAATCTTGAGCTTCTTATTGGATTTAGAAGTTGAAGATTTTGAAACCTCTCTGCTAGAGCTCTCCCCTTCATTCGCACCTTCCATATCCATAGCTGCAATAGAATCATCAATTTGTTCTGCACCCTCGCCAGTTGCTCTATCGGTGCCCACTAACACACATATATCATCCCAGTTCTCAATAGCTTTGTTTTGATATGCCTTGGCATCTGAATTTACCTATGCAAGCATGAGAACATACAAAAACATAGTGAGACAATCTAGTAACACAATTATTCAATACGGTGAAAACAACTATCTACATATGTATGTATTAAATATCTTTCCGTATGCATGGATGCCTATGTTTAATAAATAGATTGACTTCACAATCAAACATCTCAGTACTCTTGCTGACATGATTCTTTTTCGCCATGTATGAAAGTTTCCTTTTATCAACAGCTGGTAAATTGCATATAAATTGCATCAGATTTACTTTAAAACATGTATATAAGAAGACAACTCAACATAGATTCTTCATGATGTTAAAAACTTACAAAAACATAGATTCAACATACCTCACAATACTTGGTCCAATCTACCAAGTCCTCAATAGTAATTACCACCATTTTCTTATCATCGTCCCATCTGAACTTGGTTTTTGTCCTTATTTCAGTGATGATGGCATAGTGTCTCTTCCAAAGTTTTACCCTATTCCTTACGTGATCCACCGTGATAGACAAACCCAATTTGGATTTTAACTCATCAACAACAGCTTGATAAGCTTGAGGCTTCCAATCCCCCTCACCTTTATTGCCTTGGTTTAGTTGATTGTAAAACACGGCCGTCAATATCATGTCCATTTGTGGATTCCAAGTAAGATAGCTCCTTTTCCTACCTCCTTGTGTAGGAGGCAAAGTCTCTTTACCTTTTCTAATCATTGCCTTAAAAAGAAGGAAATCATATCAGTAGAAAAACTCTAAAGTCAGAGAAACTTCATTGAACATACCAAAAAGAAGATATTATAACAAATCAATATAATGGGGTGGTTTGTCCCATTAAACTCCAACTCAGTTCCTGCATACTTGGAATATAACAAATCAATATAATGCTAGTGTATTTAATGTGTCCATCCAGAGGGCTCTTTTATGAGCACGTACATCTTCACTCCATGTTATCTCTTTGATGCTAGACCTTCTTCTATGACGGTATGCTCCAACTACCATTATTATGAAAGTCACAATTATGATAACTAGCTTTTTTTCCCCATCATCTTCACCTACTTCTTCCCTTGTGCGTTTCCTTTGACCATGTAAACTTTGTTGGTCTGACATTTTCTCCTAAACTGTTTCATCATAAAAAATTAATGTGTAAAACTATACTTATCTAAGAGATAGAATTAGACCATGTAACATGGAGTAAATGTAAATACGACTGATACTAATGTACACGGACTTTCCCTTCTTCAAATTATTCACAATTGCATATAATTCATCAATTACATATATGATGGGTAGCCTAATTAAATTTATCCTATAACAACACAGATTGCAATACGGACATTTTTGTTCTAAAAGAATTATTTGTGTTGAAAACGTTTCAATTTTGACATGTCGAAAAATGTCACTTATTTCCAGAAATTTTGCAAAATGAAAATTCAATACACTAGCCTCCTGGTATTTTACACAGTGAAAAATTACTATCATCGCATGATCAATTTTGACATAGTCCTATGCAAGACTTGCAACTATAATCGCATGTAATTGAGATAATATTCCTTGTCATTAGAGTTATTTACCTTTAATTTTTAATTAAACTTTGTTCTTCCAAAAACCTCTCTGAAAGTGTGCTCCCGGCAAACCCGCTTTAAGACATTTTAATTGATCCAACTAACCAATAAGGCATGGTTTCTCGTCGGCGGGCAAATTTCCAGCGAGGTCTCGTCACGTGCATGGCACATGATGTATCAAAACTCGTTTTTAGCAGTGGCGACGACAACAATCTCGTCATATTCAGCCGATTCGATGGGGTTAGCGATCTTAGGCGGCGTCATAACCGTTATTTTATCCTACTTTGGGCTGAATATGACGAGATTATTGTCGTCGCCGCTGCTAAAAATGAGTTTTGAGACATCACGTGCCATGCACGTGACAAGATCTCGTCGGAAATTTGCCCGCCGACGAGAAAACATGCCTTATTGATTAGTTGGATCAATTAAAATGTCTTAAAGCGGGTTTGCCTATTTAAAATACCTTGTTGAAAATTGGGGTGGAATTAAAATACCAATATGGGTATTTAGCCAATTTTTAATTAAACTTTGTTCTTCCAAAAACCTCTCTGAAAGTGTGCTCCCAATTTCCAATGGGAAGATATCCTTCTGCAAGCGTTAACATCAATTGATCATGAATAAAATGCCAAAATCTATAAAATTTTGATTTCAATAGTCCTATTTGAAATCAAAGAGCCCAGAACTCTCACCTCCTGAACAAACCACTGAAGCAGCTCACACTCCCCTGATCAACCAACGATCAATTGATTTTGGCTCGACCTCCTGAACTCTCACCTCCTGAACATCAATTGGTCAGAATTATTCGGGATATCAACCAACGCTTGGCTCGACCACGATCTCAATCTCCCCTGATCAACTCCAAACTACAACACAAATCAGAAAACCAATTAAAACCCACTTCAGCAAACAGTTCAAATTCAGGAAAAATAAATTGCAGTTCTCCTAGATCTAGAATCTCACCGTTGTATTGCTGTCGTCGTTTAGATCGTCATCGCCGGTTGGATCTAGGAGCTAGGGTTTTGATGGAACTGAGAGAGAGCGAAGAGTTGTCGCCGGTTGGATCTAGGAGCTAGGGTTTTGATGGAACTGAGAGAGAGCGAAGAGTTGTCGCCGGTTGGATCTAGGAGCTAGGGTTTTGATGGAACTGAGAGAGAGCGAAGATCTGAGAGCTGAAATGGGGGGAGAGAGAGAGAGAGAGAGACCGGGGGTCGAGAAAAGAGAAACGCGGAGGCGGAGGCGGAGGCGGAAGCGAGAGAGCGATCGCGGGTCAAAAAAAAGAAGAGCGGAATTGTAAATGACAGGGTGCAGTTAGGGATTTAGATTTATGAGGTTATTATGGGCTTTCAAGGTTAAATGGATTTGGGCTAATATCTGATATTCAAATTCTTTTGAATCCAAACACTGTAATTGGGCCAATTATAGAATTTGAAATGAAATCCTTAAATCCAAACAGGCCATTAAAGAAATTAGACTCTGTGATAGGAAAGGGCTTTCGCTGTCTTTATTTTAAGAACTTCCACGCACAGGTACCTTTTTTTCAAAGCTAACTTTTGGCCTGGTTTCCATCACGATGAGAAAATTGCGTTTTAGATTTTTTTTTTATTTTAATGCAATACTTTTCAGTTATTGCTGCCAAAGCTGACCATAAAGAATTTTCATAGAAATAACTAATCTTACGGAATAGCAACGACCTCATTCATTAGATTTGACTGTATCATCTCAACCGCTTTTTTCCTTGGATAGTCTTCTCACCATAAATATTTATTTTGCTAAATGAACACAAAGCAAAAATTGCTCTTTCATCTTAGGATAAAATCCTCCCCAATTGCCAATTGGGCAATAATTAGAGCCGGTTCAATAACTATGATCCTTACTACATGTTTCAGTTTAAAGGGATAATATTATGCCATGTAGGATTGTCATGATCACAAAAAATGGTTTTCGCAATATTAATGATTTTGAAAGCAATTATGGTTTTAAACATAACAATGAAATCCGAAATCCTACATGACATAATCTTATCGCTTCAAATTGGAATATAGGGTAAGAATGTTAATTGGACCATATTTGGAGAGGATCTACATATACCTTATTCTATGTTTTATTAAAAAATGAAACTTTTCGATGCTGATACAATCTCAAATTTTGGGGCTAGTTCATGCATAACATCCGAATTCAACTATATGCATATACACTCACGCATGTATTAACATTAATTAAAGTCTAAAATATAAGCGTAATTTTGAAGCTTGATTAATTAAGACAAAACCTTACCGGGGCTTTTCATGCATGCCAAATCCAACTTGACCTTATAATGTGTGACATATTATGGATGTATGCCGATCATGATTGTTTAATATGATAAAGATGGCAATGATCTGTAAATGGCCATTAATAAATGCTTGCAGTAATTCTTGACATGAGAAGATGCTGGTCAACAATAAAATATATACCATTTGAGTTGCACATATTGATGATGGCTCAATCTCTAATTTGGGGGTTAATTCATGCACGCTAGCTTCACAAAGGAGGCTTATACACCATCACTTTGTTAATCTAATGCTTGAATCAGTGAAAGAGACTACTATTTGAATATTTTCCTCAAGATAATTTGAGGAGTCACTCTTGATTAGATAAGCTTATCAAGTGAGACCACTATTGCCTAATAATATGATGTTGCCTGCCCTATATGATAACCTACACCGTTCAATGAATTTTTTCCCCTTTAAAACGTCATTAACATCAGATGCACAATTTAATAAGTGAGATTTCTGCTTCTTAACATTTGCTGCATATACAGCTGCTTTCTCAAATTCATGTTCTGTAAAGGGCTAAGACAATGAAAATGTCAATTTTTTAATCTTCACTCCATCCCAAGTACACATCAAAAAATATAGTCAACAAACAATAAAAAAAGATTCAACATCTCAATCTAGTTATAAGGTCTTTGCTTCTCTATTATTTATTAGGGTTATTTCGATATTAGCCACCAAATCTTCAATATTGCGATATATGCTCCCCAAATTGATCACACGCCTTTCAAATCCTGTTAATATGTTTACACAAGCATCTCTTGCTAAAATATGGTTAAAAATGGGGTTTTTTGTTATGTGGGGACGAGGTGGTGTGTGTATTTGGAGGCCTAATATCAAAATATCGAAGATGTCGGGGCCTAATACAAAATAACCCTATTTATTATATTGGCTCACTTTTTAAATCAGTTTCTTTGGCTTTTCTCAACTAGGCCAGAAGGAATCTTCAAATTAGGATTTAGCAAAGTCAATCTCAGCCTAGAAGATTTTTAAAACGTAAATAATAAAACTTAAAAAAATCATGTGCTAATAGGCATTTTTATACATAAGGTCTCATGTTCTATTAGATTCAACACTTGATAGATGACTCTTAAAGCACTTGTATTATATCAGGTTCCTTAACGAAATCTCTACATGCTAACACTAAAACAGCAGAAAATCGTTTGCCCTATTAGGTTTATGACTCAATAAAATCTCTAGCAGTGCTAATTCATCACACTACTAATGCGCTAAAAGATTGCGTAATTCTAGATAAACTCACTATTGGGTATCAACTCAAACTCCAAGTTGAATGCGGGTTTGAAGGCTATGCTCAATCATAGTAGTTTTCTTAGATGCCAAGTTAGGATTGTGTTTTTGATTCTTTGTATAACTTCATGAAAATTAGATAGGGTTAGATCTATCATGATTAGGAAATTGTGTCTTATCATGATTAAGAGTTTGAATCTTATTCTAATTAAAAAGTTAGGCTAGAGATAAAATTTTCGTTTTCCTATATATATTCTTCTATTGTTGGAGGAAAAACCTAGGAGAGTAGAGAGAAGGAGAGAGAGAGAGAGAGACAATATTCTTGTAATCATGGTTTTAGAGGGTGTAACTGGGTTCAAGGGTATTGTGTGAGAGAGAGTTTGGCAGTATTTGTCCGTACAAAAGATTATAATTTGAAGGTGATAGTGGATTGATTTTAATCCAGTGGTTTTTTTCCCTGCTGAGGATTTTCCACGTTAAATCTTGTGTGATTATATTAGCTTCGTTTTGTGGTTTTTGGGGTTTTCGCGAGATCTAAAAATCCCAACAAGTGGTATCAGAGCGGGCTTCGACAGTTC